AAAGATGCTAAGCACTAAAATCTTAACTGTTCTCAACATTAAAAAGATAACAATGTTGCATGATAAAGGCATTTGCTAACAGCTAATGTAGTTAATTATATTGTGATATATGAATGTATGAAACCAACATGATATACACCTTAATCTTACATAATATTTTATTTCAGTTATTTCTCAATTAAAAAAACTGTTTCAGCTGGGAATCTGGCTTCTGTCAGGAAAATGAAAGTATCTGACTATGAGACATCACGTACTCTTATCATTCTGTTACTTTTTTAAAGACTTAAGTAAACTGTTCATTGGTTTCAGCATCTCAACAAATTAATAATAATTGTGATTTTAAAGCTTTTCAAAATTTGCTCAGAATGACTTACCATTTACTGATTGGATGTAGACAAATCATTTAGAAGACACTGGAAAGAATGTCTAGGGATTAACATCTGTTTCTCTTGAAAGAAAATTACTCATCCATCTGTGTATTCATAATGAGAAATGTTTGTTCTCTACTTGTATGAAATATTATTTGGACCTTTGTACAGAACACTCTGCTATCCTCAAATTTCTCTCTAAGAAACCAACTTGCACAGTAAATTACTTGGAGCACATTCGTTGTGGTGTGTTAAATGTCTGATAGCACTGCAAGTAAAATATAGTTTCTAGTATACAGTTAATCCTAAGGATAAGTTTTATGGTCCTTAGCAGTCTCAGCTAAAAATACCTATTGGCTTCAGCAGTAACTTAATGTCCATTGTCCAGGCATCACCCAAAAGATAGATTTAGTTTTCTGATGGAGAATAGATGTCTTTAAGATTGCCTAAAATTACAAGTAGAGTGAAGTGAAGTAGTACTATTTTGGAATTCTGGATTGTTGAGGTATCCTAAAATCATCTATGGTAATCTGTCATATGATGCATATCCTCTCCCTATGGTACCCATTACTTCTATACTTCCAGGGATAGGATACTCATGGCCTTGCAAAACAACCTACTTCTTTTTGGAAAAATTCTTACACTGATCTATATTCTGTAATTTAACTTTTCACCTACTTTAACTCTGGAGATACTTTGTTGGACTAAGTCTGTTTATTTTGCTTGCTTACATACCCTTCCTTCCACCTTTTATATAAGGTGTTTTAGAAGCTGTTTCCTCTGCAGTCCTCCGGTTTCTTTAAATCATTCACCTGTTACTGTTGTTTGGCGGGAGAGTGCTTGCTATTCATCACAGGTCTATTTTTTAAAACTTGTCTTCCCTATAAAGTTATATCCTATTAGAGACCTGGCCATTGATATAACACCTATGTCTTCTCTGAACATTTTTGAAATAGTATACCCCAAGTCGCAGACCACTATGACTGGATTTGCTTTCATTTGCTTTGGTGAACTCTGAAATGACACCATCTCACAACACCAAAGTTCTCATTGTTCATGGGGAAAGGACACTACTGATAATCAAGCCCAGAGATATGGAGCAAAAAGGCTCACAGATCAAATTAAGTCAAATCAATGTAAAGCACTAAGGAGCAAGGGGAAAGAAATGGAGTAGGTTAACGCACTGAGGATAAGGTGCAGGCAGTGTGAAGAACCATGCCACCTGAATCCTAAGTCCACAATGTAGATCCCTCTCTCCCTCCCCCTTCTCCTTTCCCTTTCTCTCTCTCTCCTCCATCTCACCCTCCTTCCTTCTCTCTCTGTTTCTATACTCCCTTCTCCAGTCCTCTATAAGGATTTTGTCCTCATAATGGTTCCTTACAAATATTGAGAGCTACTAATATAAAGAAATGGTGAGAGATAAAGTGTTGAAGTAGACTGAGACAAAAAAAAGATACAAAGTCATGAAAAATATCAACCTATATTCTATAGGTACCTCCCTAGAAATACCTGGTGCATAACACCTAGTGATATAAAATACATTTTTATTTTTTGTTCTGGTGTACTTTGTGGTTAGGAAGAAAATCTACTTAGAAAAAGTAATTTAAAAATTACATTGAATTAATTTTACCATAAGTAAGAGAATAAAAGCAAATGTGATGATATAATTTGGAAGAAATAGTATTGGGGGGGGGAGGAAAAATGCTCTAGTATTAAATTCAAAACTGTCTTTACCTATAAATCCTATAACCCTAACCAGAACTTCCACAGAAATGACTCTAGCTTATCTTGGAGTAAATCTTCTCTCCTACCACATTTATAACTTTGAGGACATCTTTATCATATGATCCAGTTCCACTCTGCCTTCTCAGTATTTCCTTTTCTGATTAGCACCAAAGGTAACTTCCCCTTTCAGAACCTAGTCTAGTATTTAACTTGTATGCCTTTTCTCATCTGGAAAACTCTTTTTTACTTTTCTGCCTTTATTATAACTATTTACATATTAAATTCTATCTTCTTCACTTAATTTTAAACTCCTTGAAAACAAAAGCCATATTTTATTTATATTTGTATTCCCTACAGGGATTCCCATGGTACTTTCCTTACACATAGGTGATACTCAACTAATAATATTTATTGAATGCATGGAAGAACCATTGTACAACACAACTTAGTATCCCAGGAATAAACTCAGAAAGTAGCAATTTCTTTTAACAGGAGTCAGCAAATTTTTCTGTAAATATTAACTATTTTAGGCTTTACAGGGGATAAAACAAAATCAAGGGTATTACTGAAGTATGTAAGTAACAAGAAAGAAAATATATTTTCACAAAATTTTTCTTTATGAAATTCAAAATGTCATTTAGTACAATTTTTTATGATATGTTTACTAATGAGGAAAATAGGATCCTTTGAGTGGGGGTGATGTGAATAACATTCAGATTATTTTAGTTCCCTATCATGAAAATTTTGTTTTCATCTGTTAATGCTGACCTCTAATGAGATTTTGCATATTTTCCATAGTTTGTCTTTGAAAATTCTTTTCACACAGATAGATACTCCAAATACTGTCATTCATGAGCATAGTTGAGAGTATTCATTGCTTGGAAGAAATTTATAAAATTCTGTTAGATTCTTCTTTTAATAATTTGCATTTTAGCATGTCATTATGTTGTAGATTAGCCATTTCCAATTGGATGCTAGGTGGAAACTCCTCAACTGCCACCTTGGATTTTGAAATATAGAAACATCTTACATCTAGTGCTAAAAAATTCTGCTGAAACTATTTGAGCTCAGAAAACCTATCCACTTCAAATTTGTATGGAAATGAAGATCGCACTGTTTTCATTTTTAACACCACAGAAGTGTATAAAGTTGCTTTGACATTACTAGTGATTCAAACATTAGTTGTCATCAAAATGACTTTATCACAGTATATATATCACATGTAACCATTGTTTTGTCTACTAATATTAGGTTGACTTGATTAATAAAATTATAGAGGCTGCATCAAAATCTAATTTATAAATCCATTCATCATTCAATAATACAGACTGAGGTTGGTTCTTTTTAAAAAATATTTCAATCTTGGTCAATATTTCAAAAAAATTCTCAGTAGAACTTTTTCCCAGCTAAGCCATCAAACTGCTGTGTAATAGTCAAGATATTCAGTTTCCATTTTGATTTTAAAAAATTTCACAAAACTGATGAAGGTTAAATTTATGAGTTAATGGAGTTCACTCTTAACATTACTGATGCAGTAACACATACTAGATTCAAGTATTTTCCTCATTGTACCTGATGGTGAATAATATAATGAACATCCATAGCTTCAAACACCTTACATTTTCACAAGTTCTGTAAATTTATCCAGTAAGTCTTTTTCCAATCCGTTGCTATCAATTTTATCACATTTTAGTAGGTTCCACTTCAGCTTGTACTGATTTAGTGTTCTAATTTCTTTGAAAATATTCTCACTTGTAGTCAATGCACCAGCTATTCATACTATTTATTTCTTCAGTCACTTCAACTCAGCATTGGCTTCTCAAATATATACCTGAGCAGTATTTCTAACATCTATTGATTCATCAAGAGGCAAGGAAAACCACTCAAAAGCATTTGCTTGTTTTATAATTGACTGTTGATGCTGCTCCAATGTCCTGAACATTTCAAACAACTGTTGTTGCCAAAAGGCAAACAATCATATACAAGTTTATTTTGGGAACATAGTTTAATTAGGTCATTACCAATAAGTGACTTTCCTTGTTTCATTTTTTGTGAAGAAGTTTCTTCTGTTGTGTTAAGATACTCCATTTTAAATTGCCTAATTTTTCTGTTACTTCCTGAAGTGGTAATATCTTGTCAAGTGCTTGGTCTGATAATGTTGATGTATATTGTATTTTTTAGCACAGCTATAGTGTCAATGCATAATAAACTCAAAGTTCAAAGATCTAATTTGATAACAAAATAATCCATATTCCACCATGCCTTAACACAACATTCAAAGTCCACTTTTTCCTCTTTTTTTTTGTTTTACCATGACCAATACATACTGGTAATAAAACAAATAAAATAAAATGTCACAGTATTAAACTGTGGTAAATTTTTTGGAATTGTGTGTAATTGAGGAATAGAATATTTTTTGAGATATAATTGATATGTAGCATTATATTAGTTTCATGCATACAAAATAATGATTCTATATATAGAGAGAAAAATGATCACCACAATAAATCTAGTTACATCCCTCAAAATGTTCTTAAGGAGATATTGATCAGTTATTAGAGTTATGTACACCAGAGTTTAATACAAAAAATTAGAATACAGCAAACATACTTCATACCTAGGCTACTTAAGTCAGAATGTACTTGTGGATGTTGTACTGCTTCAGTATTTTCATTTTAAAAACCAAGGACCATTACATGAACTATAATATAATTAGAGATTTTAGGTGAGCCAAAACATTATGTAAACATTTCACTTATTTGTGAAAGTAGCCTAGGATAACTCCCAAAACTTGGCAGTGTGTCAACAGTAGCCTTTCAGAACACCAACCCCTCCTACATTTAACAAGCCTCTGGATTGATTTTCTAGGAATTGCCCGAATTTTCATTTCTTATCTATGCTATTTAGGGCATCAGAGGCAGCCCAGGAACAACAGGACTGGCTGGGTTTCCAGGTCCTCGAGGAGCAAAGGGTACATCAGGCCTGCCAGGAAGCTCAGGAGTTCTAGGCCCAAAGGTATTTTAATGTTTTGTTCTTGATGGATGAGCAGTATTGCCCATCCTTACCGGTCCAGAGTTCATTGGCTAGATCACTGGATGGTAAGATTAATACCTTTTAATAAAACTTGGCTAGTAATACAAACATACTAAGAAAGAAGGAAAATGTGTGGCTTTGACATCCCCATCTTCCGTGAGAGCCACGGTGCATGCAATTTGCCAAAACAGCTCATTAACCCAAGACTGGAAATGCTTTAAAAAATGCTCTTTAGCTCGTTTTTGTTCTTCCTCCCTCTTGATCATCCACCCTTCTCTCCAAAATAGAGAAATCTTACTCTCTTTCAGATACATTCTTTCTCAGATACACTTCCTTTCCTCTAGGTCTGAACCCAACCACACCATTAATAAATCCGAAAGAGTGCGAATTATTTCTTAGAGTCAATGTGATACTAATTAAGTCCTGCATTAACATTCATTGCATGGAGTATTGTCACATGCCAATTGGCTTCCCGAACAAACCTCTTTCAGAAATATTGCAATGCAAAATTGACCTAGACAACCAAGAGACAAGTCCAGTGTCTAAAGCTATTTTATAAAAGCCTAGGATTAAGACATTGACACCCTTATAATTATTACTTCCTGATGTAATTTTCATAGTTCTACTTCTAAGGAATTTTCATGTATTTTGACCCATATGGGTAAACTGAAAATGATGACCCAGCTGTTGACTGTTTACAATTTGAGGCTTCTGTTAATATTTGCACCATGAATATCCCTTTCCACTAAAACTCAAGATAGCTGAGCAAATGCTAACACCAGGTCAAGAATAAGATCCCTAACTCTTATATGTGAATTTGCAATAAAAAGGATCTATCTTTATCAAGCCCCAAAGCTCTATCTCTGTCTCAAGACAGTGGAGGATAATTTGCTAATCTTAAAGAACCTTTGGTCAAAGTTTGCCTACCTACCAAGCATTATTTTTCATTAGCCTGTCTCTAAACTCCCCTTGATTCCTAAGTTTATTTTCAGAAATGATGTGAAAGATATTGCAAGTCTCATTTCAAAGACAAACAAAAATAAATTTCAAAAAGATTTGATTTATGAAAATAAATAGTGGTGATTAAGTACATCATTAAGGTGAACTTTAGGGATAAAAATGTTAAAGAAACCTGGGGAAAGAGAGAATAGAAATGTCTTAATGATGGGATTCAAAGATGATCATGGCACAAACCAAAGTTCACACTTCAGGAGACTCTTCTCTGTTTCTGGCATCAGTTGAATAATCTCTGCATGGTAAGGAATACACAGAAAAATAATGTCAATTCCAATAAAATACAAGTTCCATCACATATAAATACCCCTCACATATCACTCCCTTACCTCTCTCTCTGTAGCCTCACTATCATTCTCCTAGAAGGAGGTCCCCTAGAAACCCCTCTGTAGGTCCCCCCTTTCCCTCCCTTTCCCACACTTATAAGCACAGTCTCTGGAATTTTCTTTTTCCGCTGTTACACTACTTGTTTATTATAACCAAATATTACTTATGTGGAAAATAGTGGTGGGGAAAATGATCGTGCAGAATTTGATTTCCCCAGTGCCTTGTACTATGCCTAAGGATGAGCTTGTAATTGCATTTCATTTAAAAGCCAGTATGTTTCACAGGTTCTAAAGTTAACATCACCTTTCTTTTTTTGCCCATAGGGTGAACAAGGGCCACCTGGTCAACCTGGAATTCAAGGTAAAAGAGGTCACCAAGGAGCACAGGGTGATCAAGGACCACATGGAGAACCTGGCCTGAAAGGGCAGCCTGTATGTGCCAACTCAGAAATTCACCAAGCCCTTATTCTGCAGACCATTACACAGATAGTGACTATCATATCTATCCACATTGCAGGGAGAACGTGGTGCTCCAGGTTTAACAGGTTTCCAAGGATTTCCAGGACCCAAAGTATGTTTACATGTTTTCTCTCGTCTTCTGGTTATCTAGAAAAAAAAGATGTTGAAATGCCAATATTTAGTTCTGACTTGAACTTTAATTTTTTTCATCCTGCAAAATTTCAGTTGATACAGAGTCATGTATTTGAGTTTTGAACACCTTAATTTTAAAACTTACATAACTATATATTGTTTTAACAATATTACTGAATATTTTGCTTTTGTCCCCCTCATTCTGTTTTCCCAACATTTTTATTATGAAAATTTTCAAGCATACAACTTAGTTGAGAAAATAAGTAAACACCCAATGTACCTATTACCTAGACCCTACCATAATATTTTACTTTACTTGCTTTGTTATGTACCTAGCCACCTACCCATCTCTCTCTCTCTCTCTCCCTGTCTCAAACCATATTTGGTATATTTCAAAGTAAATTGCAGCCCTCAGCACAATTCTTCCAAAATACTTAAGCATGTATATTATTATCACATTCCATTTTTTAAGAGTCAATTCTTAATAGATTGGTACAAGATTTTTTCATTTGTAAAGTGTTCATCTAGAGCTAAAGATTTTGACTTTCTGTTTTTATTGTGTTTCTAGGGTCCTGAAGGAGATGCTGGCATTGCTGGAATACTAGGTCCTAAAGGTCCTATTGGACTGAGAGTAAGTGTAAAGACATCCTATCTACCCAGAAACTATAATTCTTTTGCTGATTGTAGGAATTAGGGTTAAGCACCCTAAAGTTAATATGCTGCAAATTAATTAATAACTTAATAAAGTGACTTTTAAAATAGAAACTCAGTAGAGCACATATAGAGGTTCTCAAACTTTTTCAGTTTATATATTAGTTTGAGCAAAAGACCCCATAGACTACTCATATTTCCCAGTTCTTTAAAAAAATCATCAGAATTAATATGCATACTGGGTAATGTATTTATTAATGAAACATAAAGCAGTTTCATGTCATAAACATTAATATGACCAGACCACTCCCATGCACCACCTGGAGGAGGCTTGCCTGTGACTAGAGCTCCTCAAACCACACTTTGAAAACTATTGCCCAGTAGCTGTGTTTCCCCAGTTCTGGAGTGGGTGCCCGCCGAGAGTGATGAGGAACTGCATAAAGAGTTGCAAAGATCAGGGTCTGAAGAATGCCAATTAGCTGCTTGGTGCCTGGAATTGCAAATTACAGAGAACAGAAATGGGATAGATAAGCCACCAGCAGTTACTGGGTATTTTTTCTTTGTTTTATTTTTCTTTTTTCTTTTTTGTTTTGTTTTTATTAATCAGTCTCCTAATTGATGAGATGATTTATGAAACTGAAGAGAGAAAAAAAAGCTGTAAAATGTCAAACAATGTCTTAACTGTAGTGGCAGCCACTCTAACTAACAGCAGCTGCTGAGGCACATGCAGAGAGCAGAGGAAGGAGGAAGAGCGGTTTGCATGCAGGGGAAAGGAGGACTCTTGAAGAACCTTACAGCTGAAAAGCATGGTCTTATGCAGAATTTTAAATGAAAAGTCAAATTTTTGACATCCTGCTCCCCTTCCCCAACTCTTACAATGAATTCTTTTCAGTAATACAAAGAACAATGTTGTCATGGTAAATGTTTGTTTAAAGACCCTTCTCAACATTCCTTCAGGTGCAATTTATTATTTTTATGATTTTATGTAAAGTCCAATTCTTGATTATTCACAGGTACATAATATGTGGTTAGGCTTTTCTATAATAAATATTGCCTTTTTTAAGTTCTTTCATATATTAAGTTCCCCACTAATTAAATCCATTCATTCTAGTTTTATTAAGTTCTCAATTAATTAAGTCCTTCCTTGATATTATCAAAGAGAACCTGGCTGCCTGCCTAGGCATCTGTCCTAAGCAGTCTCACCAAGTGCTGGGTCCCCATAGGCCATGGTCTGAGCCTATGCTGCTTTGCAGCTACAGAAATTTTATGAGCTCATCTGTAGTAAAGGTCTGGTGACTGGCTCACAAGTACTGATGTATAAGTGCAGATATTCCTTTATTAATTCATTGCAGAGACAAATAAAATGTCTCGGGTTCATATTTAGCAAAAAAAAAAAAACCAGTATGGAACAGATACTGGTGTTCAATTTGTGTCCCTTAATCTCTTTTAATCCTCATAAAATTCCTGTGAGAGATGCTATTACCATTTTGCAGGTGAAGAACTTAAGTCTCTGAAAAGTAATTTGCTGAAGACCAAATTTGTAGAGGAGCCAGAATTTGAATGCACATGTGACTGACAAAATTATTTGTTAGAAGGGTGTTTGCTAATTACATGATTAAAATATAAAATATATACTAAGTGGCCTAGTGTGTAGTTCTTGCTCAATAATGAGTAAATATTTCATGATTAAATTAATTGATACAGGAAATCTGGATTATTTTTTCACCTTTTCAAAGATGTATTTATGTAGTTAACTGGTACTAACTATTAAACCATAGTATCTCATCCTTTAGACACATTTAGATTAAAAACAGACAATTATTTTGCTCTTTTGGTCTACTTTATTCCATCTACTTTTGCCTCCCCATTCTTTTAACAAATTATTATTTCAGAGAGTCAGAACATGGTCAATTTTATTCGATTAAAACTTTCTTGGCTTTTTTTCAGTGATAAAGCAATCTAGAGGATATACTTGATTAGATTAGGGAATCAAGTCTTTCCTGATTTCTTTTGGGTATGGATCTTTGAGATTTAGGTACCATATTTACAAATCACGTTGACATTTATGTTTAAAGGTGATCCTATTACATTTAGAATATAAGTTGATTACTCTTGCTCTAGGCCTACTTAATAGTAAACCTATCTATCATTGAGCTGCATAGCATTATAATTATCTCAATTAACAGAATATTCTGTACCTTGGCAGGAGTTAGATAAAAAGAAAACCTGTTAGATATTTACATTTATCTGTTCCAGGTTAAGTGTGAACCACAAAGAATCAAATTTTCAGCTAGTGGGAGGAGGAGTTGAGGTTGAAGGAAAATAATTAAACCAGGTATTTTGTATTAATTAAGAAAGGATAGATTCCTTTCCTGTAGTTAGTTTGGAAGGAGTTGACCAGAGACCCAGCTTATTCAAGTTTATTTCCATAATCAAATAACAGCTTATGGTATCAAAATCACTTTTCACATTTAATTCACCCAATGACCTCTGAAGTAGCTGTTCTTATTTAACAGTTGAAGAAACTGCAGTTTAGTTGGTCACATATGATGCCCTCTGGTTCTCATGTTTTCTCATACTTTCTCTCAACTCTATGTGGCATGTCATTCAAACATTTGCAACTTCAACATCCATAAAGAAATGTTTTCAAAATTTTGTTTATCATTTCATGTAGTCTTTTTTATATAAAGTATTTGCATTTATGTAATGACACATAAATAAAATGGCATCATTGAAGTTATCACCACAAAAACATTGTTCTGTTGATTTATCAATTTCTTCAAAACTATACAGATAGAATTCTCCTGATAAGAGATAGTAAGAACTCAAATCAAAATTACTGATTTCTGATAATCCTATATGATTTTATAATACAAACTGGAATTAGTTAGACATGGACTGTTTTACCATTGTACCATAAATTTTCTAAAATTTTCTGAATTATACTGGCAGTGAAACTGTTTTTTTTTTACCCCAACAGGGAAACACTGGACCCTTTGGCAGAGAAGGTATAATAGGCCCAACAGGTAGAACTGTAAGTTTGTCACAATACAGGTCTGTCTTTTCTTTTTCATATTTTTTTCCTTCATTCCTATTTCTAGAATAATCTGCAAAGGAGCACCCTTGGTATTTGAGAAGCAAAGGGCAAAAATAAATGTACATTTTTGTCTGGAAGGTGATTCCTGAGAACTTAGAGATCATATGTGTAATGAAGAAAGTGAATATAGTGAGGTAGGCATTTAAAACTGAGGTTGAGAAAGGGAAATACAACTGGAGCGGGAGAAGAGTTGGACCTCATGAGCAGAGAAGTGATTGTGAAAGCAGTAAAAAGACTCCATTTTCTGAAGGAGAGAACATAGCAAAAGAAGTACAGATAGCCAAGATCTGAGTCTTTAAAAGTTCCTGGTATAAAGAAAAGAAATAGTTGGTGGGAATAGCAGGAAAACCAGAAAATCACCAGGTTAAAATAGATGAATCAAGAAAAGAATAAAGGTGATCGTTCAAAGAATTTGCAGTAGAACATAGAGTACAGATTATAGTAAGGAAAGAAACAGGTAAAAATATTTAATAACTTTTCTCAAATTCTACAGTGAACTTTTGGGGTAGGTATTTTTATTTCCATTTAAGACAGAGGAAACAGAGAGGTTTATAGAGGTTCATCCAGTTACTCAAGGTGATACAGATCATGAATTTCATAGCTGATATTTCTTACTTCAAGATTAGTGCTCTTTCCACCCCATTCAAGCTGTGTCTGGAGAGGGGATTGAGACAGTTAGTATATGCTGGTGTCTTAAGAAATTTGGCTGTGAAGTAAAACGGGAATAAGGTAATGGTTGGGAGATGGTCATGGAGAGTTTTACAATACTAACAAATAGTGTAAACATTCAAGAGGAAGAATGCAGTAGGAATGGGCAAACTGTGACTTGGAGAAAAAAGATTCATTCCCTACAGGGAATCAATATTTTGAATCATTTTTAAATGTTGTATATAGAGACAGTTTTAAATTATAAAATGGAATTCTTCATGTATTAGATACAACTATTCTCTTCAATAAATTTAAAGAGTTCACCAGCAAAGTACAGACTTTAAATTTTAAAAAATGACACAAATAGCTCAACATTTCTCTAAATTTTCAGCATTTTATCACTCAGAGCTATATAGTCTATGGGAAATTGAAGTGGGAGAATTCTTATATTTCAGTGGGTGGTTCCTCAGCAGGTAAGGAACACATACTGTTCTGATTATAGAATGATTGTGTTCCTCTGTCAAAACTGTGAAATATTAATTGGGAAGAAAAATATGATAAAGAAATGCCTCAATTAAAAAATCTTACTGTGTTTTGTGTTTATATATAGTTCTGAAAGGCCCTTATAATATCAACACGTGCATCAAATTTTTTCCATATTCTGTTTTTTCATTCTAAGAAAGAACCTCTAAGAAAAGGTCATGATGAAAGAATAAGCATTTGAGAACTGTCAAAACACTGTGGTGGAAAAAGTAATAGTGGGGGATGGAGGACTTGTTTTTCCAAATAAGAAAACGTTACTTCAAAGTCATTGTACATGAAACTATATGGTAAGACAAATAAATAAATAGACCAATGTAACAGGCTAGAGCCCAGAATTAGATCTCAGATTATATAGGAATTTAATTATGACAAAATAGTATGTCAGTTAGGATGGTTTGGGCTGCAAGTAATGGGAACCTTCATTAAATTGGCTTTAACAATAAGGAATTTATACATTATGGGAAGTCCAGAGGTAGGATGGGTTTCAGATTTGATTAATTTAGAAACTCAATCATGTTATCCAGACCGGGTTCTTTCCATAGCTTCAGTCTCTCATCCTGAAAGTTAGCTTCATAATTAGGCTTATAGCAAGATGACTACAGTTTCTCAGGAGTCACATCCAGACATAATTAACCAAAGTGAAAAGCAATCTGTAGCCCTGTCTTAGAAAAACTCAAACTTTTTCCAGAAGTCTTCTATTTCTGTCTTCCTCATATCTATTGATCAGTCAAATACCTATTCTTACACCAGTGACAGGGAAGGGAGATGGAATTACTTTTAGTCCCACTATTGCTGTAATGAATTGTAACCCTATTTCACCCAGTTGTTTAAAATCTCAGATGAATTTTTAAAGACTTAAATGTAAAAAAATAAAAAATAAACAATTAGAATCTTAGAAAAATAACCTAGAAAATTAAAGTATAGCTTAAGGTCAGAGAAACCTTTTATGTAAGATAGGAAATCTGAAAACCATAAAAGAAGAAAATATACTTGAATGCTTGAAAATGTTTAAATTTTATATGGAAAACAATTCCATAAGTAAAATGAATATAAGAAGAAAAAAGTCATTGCCATGCATACAACATGTAATGGGTTATTGTATAAAGGGTTTCTATAAAGGGTTCTTACAAACTGGCATGAAAAAGATAGAAAATAGAAGAACAAATCCAAAAGGTGGATGATTGTTTGAAAAGATGCTTCCTAACTTTTAGTCAAAGAAATGCAAATTAAGGTAATAATGAGATACTACATCCTCTAGTCTCTCAGAAGGGGACTGAAAGAGAATGGTACTCTTGTTCACCACTAGTAGAAACATGAATTACAACTTTTATGGAAAGGTATTTGTTAAAATTTAAGTGTATATATATATATATCCTTTGACCAAGCAGCTCCACTTTGAGGAATTTATTCCATAGGAAATTCTACAAAGATTTTTTTTTACAGCACTGTTTGTATTGGCAAAAAAGCTTGAAATCACATGAATGCTCATCTGTAGAGGAATGGTTGAGTAAATATTTCATGGAATATTACACAACTATCAAGAATTCATTACATCTGCCTCAGTTGATTTGCCCTTGTTTCATGATGTATTGTCAAGTGTAAAAAATATGGTACATAGAAGAGAATATGATATCAGTATCATACAGTATGACCAAATGCCCCATACATATGTAAATATATTTGTTGATATTTGATTGAAAAAAGTATCAATCAAATATGTACCATGTTATTTATATTGGTCTGGAGGTAAAGGTATAAAAATAAGTTCTATAAAGATAACTTCAAAATGAGTTTTAAAAGTTAATATACTACTAGAAAAATACAACCTTGAAAGGCTGACCCAGAAAGAAACAGAAAATCTGAACAAACCAATTAGCAGCAATGAAATTAAATTGGTAATCAAAAAACTACCTAAGAACAAAATCCCTAAACCAGATGGCTTCATTGCTGAATTTTATCAAACATATACTGAAGACCTAATACCCATCCTCCTTAAAGTTTTCCAAAAAGTAAAAGACGAGGGAATACTCCCAAACTCATTCTATGAGGCCAGCATCACTCTAATACCAAAACCAGGCAAATACGCCACAAAAAAAGAAAAGTACAGACCAATATCCCTGATGAACATAGATGCAAAAATACTCAACAAAATATTAGCAAACCAAATTCAAAAATACATCATAAAGATCATTCATTCATTATGTTCAAGTAGGATTTATTCCAGGGATGCAAAGATGGTATAACATTCGAAAATCCATCAACATCATCCACCACATCAACAAAAAGAATAACAAAAACCACATGATCATCTAAATAGATGCTGAAAAAGCATTTGACAAAATTCAACATCCATTCATGATGAAAACTCTCAACAAAATGGATATAGACGGCAAGTACCTCAACATAATAAAGGCTTAAAAGTGAGAAGCTGAAAGCTTTTCCTTTAAGATCAGGAGCAATACAAGGATGCCCACTCTCCCCACTTTTACTCAGCATAGTTCTGGAGGTCCTAGTCATGACAATCAGACAACATAAAGAAATAAAAGGCATCCAGATTGGCAAAGAAGAAGTTAAATTGTCTCTGTTTGCAGATGACGTGATATTGCACATAAAAAAACCTTAAAGAATCCACTCCAAAACTACTAGATCTAATATCTGAATTCAACAAACTTGCAGGATATAAAATTAATACAAAGAAATCTGTTGCATTCCTATATACTAATGGTGAACTAGCAGAAAGAGAAAACAGGAAAACAATTCCATTCACAACTGCATCAGAAAGAATAAAATACCTATGAATAAACCTAACCAAGAAACTGAAAGAACTGTACTCTGAAAACTACATGACACTCATGAGAGAAATTAAAGAAGTTACAAATAAATGGAAACACATGCCATGCTCATGGATAGTAAGAATTAATATTGTCAAAATGGCCATCCTGCCTAAAGCAATCTACAGATTCAATGCAATCCCTATCAAAATAACAACAGCATTCTACAATGAAGTAGAGCAAACAGTTCTAAATTTCATATGGAATCACAAAAGACCCCAAATAGCCAAAGCAATCCTGAGAAGGAAGAATAAAGCTGGGGGGATTATGCTCCCCAACTTCAATCTCTACTGCAAAGCCACAGTAATCAAGACAATTTGATACTGGCACAAGAACAGACTCATAGACCAATGGAGCAGACTAGAGAGCCCAGATATAAACTCAACCATATATGGTCAATTAATATATGATAAAGGAGCCATGGATATACAATTGGGAAATGACAGCCTCTTCAACAGTTGGTGTTGGCAAAACTGGACAGCTACATTCAAGAGAATGAAACTGGATTACTGTCTAGCCCCATACACAAAAGTGAGCTCAAAATGGATCAAAGACCTGAATGTAACTCATGAAACCACAAAACTCTTAGAAGACAACATAGGCAGAAATCTACTGAATATAAACATGAGCTACTTCTTCCTGAACGCATCTCCTCAACAAGGGAAACAAAAGCAAAAATGAACACATAGGACTACATCAAACTAAAAAGCTTTTGTATGGCAAAGGACACCATCAACAAAACAAAAAGGTATCCTACAGTATGGGAGAATATATTTGTAAATGACATATCCAACAAGGGGTTAACATCCAAAATATATAAAGAACTCACATGCCTCAACACCCAAAAAGCAAATAATCCAATTAAAAATTGGGCGGAGGATCTGAACAGACACTTCTCTCCAAAGAAGAAATTCAGATGGCCAACAGACACATGAGAAGATCTCCACATCACTAATCATCAGGGAAATGCAAATTAAAACCACAATGAGATATCACCTCACACCAGTAAGGATGGCCAGCATTGAAAAGACTAAGAACAACAAATTCTGGTGAGGATGTGGAAGAAGGGGAACCCCTCCTACACTGCTGGTGGGAACGTAACCTAGTTCAACCATTGTGGAAATCACTATGGAGGTTCCTTGAAAAACAAAAGTAGAAATACCATTTGACTCAGGAATCCCACTCCTTGGAATTTACCCAAAGAATACAACTTCTCAGATTCAAAAAGACATATGCACCCCTATATTTATTGCAGCACTTTTTACAATGGCCAAAATATGGAAGCAACCTAACTGTCCATCAGTAGATGAATGGAGAAAGAAGATGTGGTACATATACACAATGGAATATTATTCAGCCATAAGAAAGAAACAAATCCTACCATTTGCAACAACATGGATGGAGCTGGAGTATATTATGCTCAGTGAAATAAGCCAGGCAGAGAAAGACAAGTGCCAAATGATTTCGCTCTTTTGTGGAGTATAACAATGAAGCAAAACTGAAGGAACAAAACAGCAGCAGACTCACAGACACCAAGGAGGGACTAGCTGTTACCAAAGGGGAGGGGTGTGGGAGGGTGGGTTGGGAGGGAGTTGGGGATTGAAGGGCATTATGTTTAGTACACATGGTGTGAGGGGGCATGGAGAAAACAGTGTAGCACAGAGAAGGCAAATAGTGAATCTGTGGTATCTTACCACACTGATGGACAGTGACTGCAATGGGGTATGGGTGGGGACTTGATAATATAGGTAAATGTAGTAACCACAGTGTTTTTTCATGTGAAACCTTCATAAGAGTGTATATCAATAATGCCTTAATAAAAAAATATATATGCATATGTATGAAAAGGTTAATATCCTTGTTTAAAATGAGTTAAAGACAAGATAGAAAGCATTGAAAAGAAACGTATTAACATAAGTGGTAAATAGGTAATGAGATAGTACTTTTAGTTGATATGATTGACAAAGAATGTCAGTATGTGGCACATATCAGGAGAACTATCCCTCCCATCTGTTGCAGGGATGCATGCAATTTCAAACAAAACTGCCTGGAGGACAATTTTTATCAAAAATTTTAAGAGTACAAGGATATTTATTTCAGTATCTTCATGACAAAAATTAGAAACAAAATAAAATTCAATAAAAATATTATGTTTATTAAATACTAGGTAAGCACTATATCTAGGGGAATATGGACTGATAGGGAAAAACATTTGTAGTATATTGTAAAGATGTAAGTTCATGCTGTAGAAAAGATGAATAGCATTATATCATTTTTAAATAAAAAATGCATGTGTAATTTCCACAAGGATAATCACAAAAATGTTAACAGGAATTCTCAAAGCAGTAGGCCCATCCAGCAACAGCAGATTATTCATTCTCTTCAAGTGCACATGGGACCGTTAGCAAAATAGACTTTATTTTACTAACTTTGAAAGAACTGGTCATATAAGGTATGTTCTTTGGCCATAAGGTAAATAAACTAAAATAGAATAAGCTAGGATGATAATAGGAAAATCTCCAAACACTTGGAAATAAAGCCACATGCTTCTAAATAACTTCTAAATAATCCATGGATCAAAGAGGATTCTCAAGAAAAGTTAGAAAATATTTTGAACGGAATGAAAATGTATACAACATATCAAAATCTGTGTGGCGTATCTCAGAAGGAGAGCTAGCAACAGAAGACAAAGAAGGAAGAAACCACACTCGGAAGATTTTGGAAGCAACCTAAGTGTCCATCAGTAGATGAATGGATAAAGATGTGGTACATATACACAATGGAATACTATTCAGCCGTAAGAAAGAAACAAATCCTACCATTTGCAACAACATGGATGGAGCTGGAGTATATTATGGCTGTGGAAACAAATTTTAGAAGAATTTAACCCTCTAACTTCCTTTCTAAATCGTTTTGTATTTGATTATCATCAGCTGAATTGAATGAATAAGTAGCTTGTCATCCCTATTGCACTTTATGGTGGAGCTAGGGATAGAAAAACAGGTAGCACAATGAATCAATAGATTGGTTTTGTTTTGCTTTGCTTAACTTAGGGAAAGAAAACTAGCATTTATGTGAATTTATTAAGTCTTGCTAGAAAGAAAAAGCAAAAACATAAATTTCCATATACAGCCTCAACTACATTTAATAAATACCTATCAGTAACACTAAACTTTTTCTTTTCTTTTAGGGACCTAGAGGTGAAAGAGGCTTTAGAGGTGAAACTGTAAGTTTGTGATTTAAGTATCACTTGCCACTAGGCTATAAGCTCTGTGAAAGCAAGGACCTTGTTTAATTCTTGCATTATGCCTTCGATTCTTACAGAATAAAAATAAAATTATATATATAGTTTTCAGGAAGTAGAAGTAATCTATGAGATTTATGGCAGTAAAACCTGGTAAGCCCTAAACATATTTAAGAACCTGCCAGTCACATTCTTCCCAGATCACTGTGTGAAATGAAATATTTGCCTTCTGAGGACTTAGGAGAGGAGATGCGAGCCTTCTTCACCAGCGCCAGAGCAAGAGCCCTGCCCAGTTACTTTAGGCATATACCAACTAGGTCACTCAGCAACCAGGAGGGCTGCGCAGCAGAAGCCATCATTCATTGTATATTTCAGCCAGTTGGAAACCATGGGGAGAGGATGGGCAAAAGGTCCACAGCCACTTTCAGGATCTATCTATCAGGACCTATCTTCTCCAAGTACTGTAGCTGAAACATAAAATTCCACTAGGATTAGAAAACTTAAGTATCTGTAACAATATCATAAACATTTTCATATGGAAAAAAATGCAGTGGCTCTGATGATTTAGAAATTCAATAGCTTATGCCTTCCTGCAAGTTATGGCTTATACTGGTCCTGTTTCCCACTCTTCTGGGATGTCGATTCTTCCAAGTTAAAGAAGGTATTTTGTACAGGGGCCACTTTCCCGAAAGAGATCCTACTGAGCTTATTAAAGCGGCAGCCATAAACAGAAGGCAGGTGAGGAGTGAAATGGGGGATTGAAACCAAATATAGAAGGCATATAAGAATAAACTTAAGATAGCAATAAAGTCTTGATTTCTAGGCAGTGAGATTACATAGTGACAGCTAAGATTTTTGCTTTTCATCAGAGAGTATGTTTGGGTTCAGAATTATGTAAATTGCAGTTACATCGATTAGTTGAAGAAGAGAAATTATGTGATTTCAGATAGCCTAGTAATTTCAAAGGGCACTAAAATAGATGCATTTAATTTGCAGAAATATGGCCCTCATATTTTTTCAGTAGACTTACTGTAGCAGAAAGCAAAGGTGTATTTATGAAGTGAAACCATATCCCCCAAGAAGAGTGGAAAAAGAAAGGAAATGTAGGGAGGCTCGAAATTTGCCCATTTTCCAGACCTGTCTGTCTCTACCTGCCTCCCTGACCTATCTTCTCCAAGTACAGTAGCTGGAACATAAGCTTCCATCAGGATTAGGAAACCTTAAGTATCTGTGACAATGTCATAAACATTTCATATGAAAAAAAAACTGAAGTGGCTCTGATGACTTAGAAATTCAATGGTTTATGCTTGCCTGCAAGTTTAGGTTGCACTGATAGAAATATGGCATCCAGAAAAGGGGAACATGGACAAAATTAAAGTACATTCAGAGGAGGGCTCTCTCAGATTGGTGATGTATCTGGGAGCTTTGTCTTGGAAAAAACAATTAAAATATCTAAGATGTTTAGTCCTTGTCAGACTCTGCAGCCTGATCATCTTCTCTTTGCTCTCTCTTTACTTGCTGGGTTTTGCACATGCTTTTTCTTGCCCATACTCTTTATCCCGGTAGTTCCTACTCATCTTGAGGTTAAAAATTAAAGATAATTTGCTTACGGCAGACTTGCTGATGTTTTATCTTCACCCAGCTGCCACCTGTGGACATAATACTGAGGACCAAGTACAATGCCTGGCAACTCTTCCTCAGTCTTTGCTTAAGTGTCCCTTAATCAGGGGCTTTTTCTGACATTCCATCAAAATAGCAACACTCCCATCTTCCTGAGATTCCCTTTATTTCCTTAATGTGTTTCCTTACAACCTGACATACTACATACTTATTTGCTTTTTTGTATTTTGTATTTCCCCTCTCTAGAATATAGATGCCATGACACAGATACTTTATCTGTTATTTACTGCTGCGTCCCCAGCGCCTAAGATGGTGCCTGTCTTCTGGCTGGTGCTCAATAAATACTTAATACCTTATTAGTGAGTGAATTAGAGAAGTTTAAGGTTGTTGGGACCTGATAGTTATCTTTAAACATTTAAAAGTCAAGGAGAATATGTATAATATGAGTAACTCTAGGGGATAATATTAAAATGATTTATTTCTTGAATGTTCAGTTTCTGGGCTGAGCTTCCTGAGAGATGGTTGAGTTTCACGAGGGCTGAAGTGTGTTTGATACTGTGTGATCCCCCAATTTGTGAGAGCACCTAACACATGATTAGCTTGGAATATAGCCTGATTGACTAAATGAATGGAATGCTGAGACCAATTTCAGCTCAATATAATAATGAATTGTCTAATATAATAACAAACTGCTTTAAAACAAAATAGGTTTTGTGAGATAATGAGTGGCTGTCACTGAAAGCCTAATGACTGTCTCTCCGAGTTACTGGACTGGGATTCTTGCACTAAGTAGGGAATTAGAATATTAGAATATATTCCTCTGAAGCCCTTTCCAGCCCTAAGAGTCTATGATTACACATAAACAAACAAACCCCTCATAAAAGAACCAACAAAGACAGAGAACCTAACGAAGAGTTCTTTAAACGAAAAGTTTGTCCTTGTCAGCCTCCCATTCTGAATCCATCCACCCCTCCGTTTTTCATCACCAACACCCTTGTCCAAATCACACTGATGGCCTCCTGACTTCTTGCTACTCCTTCCACTTCTCCCCACTGCAGTCCATCCTCTGGAGTGATACCATTAAACCAGGATCGGATTGTCTCGCTCCCTCTTACCTAGGGAAGTCTTTCACCTGCTCTTCAAATGACTGGTTCTTATCTCATTATTCAGGTCTCTGCTCAGATATCATCTTAGAAAAGACATCCATACTACTCTGTCTTGTTATTCCTGCTCATTCTCTTTTACAATATCCTGTTCTGTTTTCTTTTACAGCATTTGCACTATTTGAAATTACCCGTGTCTGCCTTTTTCTCTAGACCATAAACTTGAGGGCAGGAACTTTGTCTGACACACTGGTTATCAGCGTCTGGGACAGAACCTGCCATGCAGTAGGCAATTTTGAGAAATGAATTCCTAAATAGAGGAATGCTTACCCTAAAATTGAAAAGTTAGCAACTGTTTTCCAATTCTAGATGGCAAAGTAGCATTTCTTGAACATACTTACTAGTCTTTTGCTGTGTGGGCTACAATAGTTCTCTTTATAATAGGATGCAAACTCCCAGTACCCAGAGAGTACAAAGTGGCACTTTGTGTAGACAATAAAATTAGCTGTTGAATAAAAAGGATTAGCTAGCACATTAGAATTATGAGTTTATTCTGTTTTATTGTTGAATAATTGGTACTAAAATATCTTTTCATCATCTTTTTTCCTTTGACTCCATTATGGTTTAAGGAGCTTTATAAAAGTAATCTTTAAATTCCTAGAGATCATCTACAGTTAACTTAATCCATAAAATATGTGCAGTTAAACCATCGTCTGCTTTCATCCTATGGAAAAGTTAAGTAAAATTTCTTACATTCTCATTAGGACTTTTTCAGTACATTGTACGGGTTTGTTTTCTTTAAGGGAATGGTTTAAATAATTCACTGGCTAAAGACTTCTGATTAGCTGCTATGTTTCAGAATGTAATATTGTCAAAGGGGTCACCCTCAAATAATACTAATACATTGGGGCATTTTTGGAATGAATTTTATTAGCCAAGATCTATCATATTGAGACAAATATGACATTCCACTCTTTGTACAAAGATTCAGAATCACAACAATCTATCATACTGGCTTATAAATCTTACTTAAAATTTTTCCATGAAGCTGGCATAAGAATTCATTAGTGATTCTGTGCTTACCAAATTTTTTACCAAAACCAAATCATGATTCAGTGCCTTAGAAAAAGAAAGTTACAGCTTATTACACAACATGTGACAAGTATCTCTTTTAGCATAAATTTGGGTTGCTTGGAAACTTCGTATCTTCTACAATTTAACACTGTAAATTCTACTGATCCCAAATAGGCCCACTTCAACAATGACAGAGTTGTTTCTGTATTGCCAAATAAAAAAGAGTTTCTTTCCTTTCTATTCTATACTTGGTCCATGTCTGCCTACCTATAGACTATTTTAAAAATAATTCCCTGGATTCGTATATATATATATATGAGTATGTGTATGTATATATATATATANATGTGTATGTATATATATATATACAGACATGTATACATATACAGATAGGTAGATATAGATATATATAATTATAAAATTAGAGTTTTATGACATCCTGAGAAAATTCCCGGGTAGATAGAACATAGAATTCCCTCCTCTCCCCCTACTTCAAAATTCTCATATTAATGGCAAATTAATCTTGAAAGGTTACAAAAATCTTCTAGTTTCCATGGGATCCCAAACACTTGTAGAATATGATTAATTTCTCCAGAAGTAATGCAAGAAGGATTGCTGGAAATAATAAGATGCATTTAATAAAAAGTAAAATTTTAACTCATAGCAGAAATAATATCCTAGTGTCAATCATCTGAAAAGGATTTTGACAAGATAACACAACTTGAAACATATAACTCAAAGCCACAGAAGTAGAAAAAAATAGAGTGAAAAATGCCACATGAATTTTTAGATTAGCTGCTTCATTTTTTTTATGGAAGTATAGTTGATGGTACAATATTATATTACCTCCAGGTGTACAACATGGTGATTCAACAATTATATACATTACCCAGTGCTCACTACAGGAAATGTATCATCCATCACCATACAAAATTATTACAATGTTATTGACTACACTCCCAATGTCATACTTTCATTTGCAAGACTTACTTTATCATTTTAAGTTTGTACCTCTTTATCCTCTTAACCTATTCCACTCATACCCCCAACCCTTCCACTAGGGCAACCATTTTTATAGCATGTTATCTAATTAAATTAATGAAATGTTGAAGAATCACATCGACATCTTCTCAAATATTACCTCTAAGTTAATATGTATTCACAATTCTTGATTAACGTAATTAT